TTGGTGTTTGTTCTTCAGTGCTTCCTTGTTCTTTATCTTCATCCATTTCAGCATCCTCTTCCTCCCTTTTTTCCTCAGTTTGCTTTGAGTTTGCAAATCATTCTTGATGTTACTCTTCTTTATTGGTATACTCAGACCATTAGTTGCTTTCTCTTCGATTCCTATTAATTCTGCTGTAGTGAAAAATTTATGGCTTAGAATTACACGTTGTTGGTCCATTAGCCTTTGCGCACCGATATCACAATCCGTGTGGTTCATCTTCCAAATCTGATTTATTCATTTTTGAAATCCACGTTTTGCTGGCTCAGACTGATAGTAAGCTTCCATGATAGAGATGTGTTCTTCCCTAGTCCAGATTTTTCGCTTTTTTGCTTTTTCTTCCAGTAGCTTGTCAGCTCCATGCCCTGGTTGTCTAGCAGAGGGAGCTGAGCCCTGTAGCTCATTTTGCACAGAATGCCCAGGAGCCATAGCATTCAATGGAACCCTTGTTAATCCGGGCGATGGTTCAGCCAGCATAAATTTCATTTTTTTCATATTCACCATATTTGAATGGGTTGTCTGGCCCTTCACCTAAGACCTGTCTGATATGGTTGTACCTGTTCAGCATATCCCTTAGGATCATTAGAGCGTGCAAGCCCCTCCACCACGACAAGGTAAAGCTCTTCGGAGGGAGCTTTATTATTATATTTATTATTATTATTTTATTATTATTATTTTGCTGATTAATATAATATCAGTGAATATAATTATTGTGTATTATATACATGATACAGGCAGTCTTTGCTTAACAACCTGTTATTAATGATCTTTCAAAGTTATATTGGACTCAAAATAATGAACCAATTTCAAAGTTAACACCCCCTCCCCGCGGTATGGTCATACGATCACATTTTGGGAGCTTGGCAACTGGTTTGTATTTGCGATCGGTTGCAGCATCCCATGGCCATGTCATCATATTTGTGACATTTGTTTGCCAGTTTTCTGTCATTTTTCAGCAAAAAACAGCCATTCAGAAGAATGGAATCATTTAACAACCAGGTGATTCACTTTAACAACCATAGTGACTTATTTTACAACAATTGTAAAAATGGTAATAAAATCAAGGCAGGTCCTGGGGTGATCTCCCTAACAATCGCAACAATTTGTGACCAAAATTCTGCACCCAATTGTGCTTGCTAAGTGAGGACTACTTATATATATATAAATAATGAAAATTATTTCGTTCAAACTAATTTTAAATTGTAAGGGGACTATCATTTGGATTTAGATTTAATTAAAAGTAAAACTTCTCCACTTCTTCTCCAGAGACATTGCCTATAATGTGTTTGAAGTAGTCCAAAATCTAGAAGGATAATTATCAGATTTTTATTATATAGCAAATTGCTGTTAAAGATAAATGACAATTTAACATAACTGTGTTATGCATAATGCTGAAAAGTACTCAGAACCACTGCTGGTATATAAGTCATAGAAATTCTGGGTGATAATAGTATTATACACCCAACAAGAGAAAATCAAGTCATTTGTGGCCTAGAATTTTGGAATGTCTTGGGGGTTGAGTCTAGGCAGCCAGGAAACCATTTCTCTTTACGTTATATTATTGATTTATATTATAATGTGTCATTTCTCATTCTTCAGCAAATAAAATTTTATAAAGTATTCAGTGTAGCATATATTCTATTGTGAAAGTTTCAAACTGTAAAATATATTGTGATGTATTTGTTTATCTGAGTAGAGTGATAAACTGCTATATTTTTTATGATGTAAGCACTTTAAAACAACTCAATCCTGTACATGCCTATTCAAGTCTGTGCCTTAGTTAATAAGTCTTACTTCGAGGTAAGGATTGCAGTTTAAGATTTATAAAGTGCTTAAGTTATTGGTCCAATATAATTTCAGGGGCCTAAGAAAATCAGGAGGTAAAGGCAAAAAGCAAGAAAAAGAAAATGCAAGGGGTTCTCTGGACAGCAGGTATGTTAAGATACATTCTTATTAATATATTCTAAGTTGAAGTATTTCTTTGGAACTAGAATGTTTTTTTCTGAATGAATTCATAGTTCAGTGTTGCATACTTTATTGAGAATTTCAGTCTTCAGGAAATAAAATGTCTAGTGCAAGCATTTCATCCATCTATCAGATAGGTTGTTTCCATGTTGTTGTTTTTAAAGATTTAATAATTTGTAAGATCTTTTTCCAGAAAATCTAGAGTCCAAGCACTTACTGTACCAAAGCTTCAATGCATTTTTTTCCTTGTACTTCATTGGAAGTGTCTGTGGCAATTCATTGGAAGTGTCTGTGGCAATTCATTGGAAGTGATTTTAATAGAAAAGAGAACAAATGTTCTATATTTTTAACTTTTTCTTTTGAAATTCTATATTTAAAAGTCCAAGTTGCACTGCAGTTTGCTTTATATATTTCCAAGTTATTAATCATATGTTTACAGTATTATAACTTCTGGTAAAATTGTTTGTATTGTATTGCTAAATCACTATACATGTTCCATTTTTATTACACACTCTCCGGCATAACTATGAGCCATGTGAGAAAGTACAATTAAGTGAAGTATTTTATGTAGTATTTTAAGAACCATTTCTTATATTTTTGAAGAACAATTAGTCTGTGTGTTTTGTTATACACTGTGTTCTAAGTCTAACAGCAGGCTGTATCTTAGCTGTGGTATCTGCTAATGCTATTATATAGCATTTGACTCAAAAATGGGTTAAGGTTTGAAGAGCTTGGGTTTAACTTCAGAATATTGTATAAAGTGATTGATTTGTGCCTATTATACCCAATTTAAATTGTATCTTTAAAATATTTGTATTGCTGCTTTTATTTTGGAAATAGCTTCATAAACATGTTTTAGATTCCAGAGACTTTTTTCAGACAGTTTTGAAGCAGTTTAACTGTATTTTTTTTATTTTTATTTTTCTAAAAAAGCTAATAGTGAAATTAAAAAGGGAGTTTCATGGATTAAATGTTGAGGTCATTTTTTTCCATACAGAAAACAATACCTGAAAGCCTGTTTCTATAGCCAATCTTATATAAACTTTCCTAAAAAAAAGAAAAGTGTAAAACATATTCAGAGATTTATACACTTTCTGTGTATGCCCTCCAGAGTTATTGCTAAAAGGTTTTCAGCACTGACAGTTCTTCTCCGTTTGCTAGAATAAGACAGAAATCCCTTAGTAACAGAACTATTTTAAGAATGTTTTAAAAATAGTAAGCCAAGCTTATTCACAGTTTCTTAAATTGATTTACGTTTTGTGCTATAAATGGTTATACTGAATGTTAAAATAGAATTGTGACAAACATGTTATATCGCTTGATTTGCATGTACAGTAAATGTTGATATATGGTTTTATGGACATGATATTATTTCAGAGGTTCCCGCGAATTATTGGACGACCCTGACAACAATTTATCTGCCTCAGATTCCGATTCGCCTATTCCTACTTGTATGCCTTTCTCTTGGTTTGGAGATAGCCATAAAGAACATAGCTCTAGTAGCACCCTGAGTTTTTCTCAGGGTGGGCAGGATATTGCCATTGAACAAAGTCAAGAGAAGACCAGAAGCAAGGTAAATGTAGTCTGTTTGAATATGCTATGCACATTTAGATATGCCGACTTCCTCAATAGTTAGTATTGCTTGAATTTCCTACAACTATCTATGTCGTCTTTGAAACCAAAGGACTACCTTAGATCTTGTATACAAGCTGGAAATGCAGTTTACATGTTAGTCATCGATGTACATATTTCTAGGAATGTTTATGTGAGAACTGCAGAGATCTTTCTTAATGTGTGAAATTTCAGTATGGCATGAAATGCTAGTTAAATTTAGCTTCTACACTACAGCCTGGAAAGGGTTACTGAAATGCATAGTGTTGGATTCAGAGCTTCTCCTGATAAGGCAGTACTTCATTTGCAGTAATTCAAGTCATGGGAAAGAGCCCTTTTTCTTTCTCTTTAGTCAAATCTTCTGTCACCCCACTATTTAAGGAATAACCCAGCCCTTCCTTAGGGCATTGGACATAGCAGTGTAAAGGACTGCTAAGAGAGAGAGAATTGTTGAGCTCTGTTCCATCAGAAGAAATATTTTGCTAGATCAAAATCTTTCCAGGTTCAGCAGTCCTTTCCTATTGTTTATTAAAGATAGTTTATTACAAGCTGTAAGATAATTATTTCTTTCTCCTAGCTTCTTTAAAATTGTATTTAAAAAATAATTAAAACATTGTTTTTGACAGCTTTTTCAAACATTTATAAAGATACGCATATTTGTACAACAGTTAAAGCAACTAACCACAAGTACAGGCAGGGCGGGGGGTGGGATTACTAATACTAACTTTCCTTAAATTAACATGTCTCTACTTGGCAAATATTTATTAGTATTGATGGATCCAAGAACTTTTAAGATGGCTGTCAAGATGTTGAAAAAAGAATATGAAATGTGGGAAGGCATAAATCCATGTCTTTTAAATTTTTGGTTGTTAAATCAAACATTACTATTAAACTCCCTGCCTCAAATTTAACGAACTGCTAAAGTACTGAGTCAAAAAGTTAATTTATGTGGCTTTATTTCCTGCCTGCTGCAATAATTTAATTAATTTAGTTAATCAATATTAATTGATCATAATAAGCAAACTACTTTTTGATACCAGTGATCCACCATATCATTCTGAAAAAAATTCTATCAACGCTGCAGCTTTCTTGGTTAAGATGCAAACAACATATTCAAAATAGTAAAATTGTTCAATATATTTAGTTAAACTTTGGGCAAATTTAAGCTCTAAACTCCTTAAGCAGCAACACATGAAAGACAATGGGATTCCTCTGCTATAATAAAAAAATATGTTCAGTAAATTTGCTAAAATATTTATCATTGAGAGGGGCTGTTGCATATTTTTATGTATCAACAGTTGATAAATAATATTTAGATAAATAATAAATAACTAAATCTGTTAAAAGCTACATTTTCCGTGCTTACAGAAAGTAATTATTCCAAAGCAGAATCTAATAATGTTATCATCTAGTCTAGTGCTTTGTTTTATATCCCTTAGAATGTTTTTAAGCTTGCATTCTACATCCTTTTTGAAAATGTTAATTTAGTGAGTAAATCTTTCTGTAGCTTGGATTTCTTTTATAGATTATTTTGTTATTTCAGTTTGGTGATAATCTTGGGTATGCATTCCAAGCCATGTTTTTTTTCCCATTTTGTCTGTCTTTTCTTTGACAGATCATTTCTTATATTTTGCAAGCTTGCAAAGTATTTGCAACATAATTTTAACCAATTTATGCCTAGTTCAAATGTCTGAATGGTTTCCTTTCACTAGGGAAAATTTCTTTTGTATGGCTTGTCAGTTAGCAAAATAGAGTGAATCAATCAGGAAAGTAGCAGCCTGGTTAGATTCACAATCATCCTAAGGTTTAGCTAAACCATAATATAGTTTTGTTTGACTTAGGATGTTGTATGAACTTAGCCAGTCAGTTTGTAATTCATCAGTGAAGCAATAATGGGTTGGATCCAGACTGACCATTCTGTGCATCCATTAGCACAATGCATACATTCATCTATGTATGTCCAAGAGTCTTGTTGGATGCAAAACAAACTTGTTTCCCCAGATATCATATCCCCACTGTAGAGCCTGACTGGTACTTCCCTTTTTTCATCCAAATTAGTTAATATTAATGCCACATTAAATACATTAATACAAGAAATAGGAAATGCAAATTGATTGAGTCATATCAAATGGGATTATTTAGTTGGTGCAAAGTAATAGTTGTAGAATCACTACTTAATTTTTGTGTGGATATCGAATCCATATTGTAATTCATCTTGCACAATTTAGTTATTGCACAAATGCTTTTTGCAAATTATTAAACAAGTAGTTTCACATTCTATTATGATGACATCCTGCAAGTTGCTGTTAAAACTAGTTATACTTTCTTTATGTTGTTATTAAGTCGATTGGGTAAAGTTCACTGTTTAAAATTTTAATATTTTTCTCATGCTGTTTCTTTCCTTCTTCAAGGAAAATATAAGTAGTTTTAAAGAGTGTGTTCCTAATCAATTCTACCCATTGCTCTTCAAATTCTCATTGAACATAAATACTTAATAAAAGTATTAGTAAAGTAGTCTAATTTTAGTTCCCTTGGTGATTCTGATCATTAGTCTTGAGCAGTATTTGTTTGTAATGCAGCCTAAATAACAAGCACTAAATGAGTTGTACTAGCGCGTAATGTTCAGCAACTTAAAAGTTTTAAAGAAGTTTAGTGTCTCTGGGGTATGAAATATTAGAATACAGGTAGTCCTCAACTTACTACCACAATTGAGCTTGGAATTTTGGTCATGTCATTGCTGTCATAAATTGAGTCACCATATTATCACAACAATTTTATAGCCATTTTTATGACAGTCAAATCATAGGATCATAAGTCGAAATCAAGCTCATCCAATGGACGTTTTTTGCCACAAAAAAAAAGCCATAGGAAAAAATATCACAAAACATAACCATATGATTGCAGGATGCTGCAACCAGGTGTAAATGTAAGTTGGTTGTCAAGTGTCCAAAATGTGATCACATGATTGCGGGATGGTAACAGTTGTAACTTTGAGGATAAGTTGTAAGTAACTTTTTTTGAGCATGTTGTAACTTTGAACAGTTGTTAAGTGAATGTTCATAAGGGAAGGAGTACCTGTACATATTTTTCACCTTTGTAGCTAGCAGCAGCTATGATATACATTTGGAATTTATTTATTAAACTAATATGCTGCTCATCTTGCCAAAGGCAATTCTAGGCAATTTAAAATCAATAAAAACTCTAATGTAAAACATTAATGTATAAAATAGAAACATTAAATTTGAATTTAAATTGACCAAGATGGAAAGGAAGGCAGCAAGATGTTTACTTCTTTTCCATACATTATTTCCCTGAAACAGTGAAAAAATAAATAATTAAATGTATTTCAAACTGGGACAAAAAGTTTGTTTTGCGCAGAGAGGCAGGATATAGGCATAAAAATAAATATAAACTACGTCCTTTCCACTTAATATACAAGTATGTACCTGGATTTTTACCTTATTTTTAACAAGCATAATTAGAATCAAAATAGTTATCCTATATTTTTTTGTCTCTTTGTTCCCTCTTTCAAGTTAACCGTTTGTATAAATCAACCCCTAACTGACCAGATGATGTTATCAAAATCTTGTCACAGTGTCTGGAGTGTGTGAAGAACTGTATGGGGAGGAATAAGCTTAAGCTTAACCATGGCAAAATTGAATAACTGTTTCTTTGGACCACCTGGATTTGGAAATGTTCTCTCTTTAATCCTGAAGTACTAGGACTGTTACATAACTTGTGAATATTCTTGAACTATAGTTTCTACTCAAAGAGCCAATGGCAGCTGGGGTCAATTCATGCTTGGTCACCTCATGTTTGAACTACTGCAGCAGTGTTCATGAGTAGAGACCACTTACTGCAACTGATCCAAAATGCATTGGCATGGGTAGTGATGAGCATGCCCACATAACATCTCCAATTCTTGAAGTGCCCTGGTTGTTAGAAAGCTTCCAGGTATCAGTGTGTTAGTGATTATGTATAAAGGCTGGTATGGGTTTGTTTATCTACCTGACTTCTATAACAGGGCTCCCCAGGCCCTGGCCCGCAGACTAGTACTGGTCTGTTTCCTGTTAGGAACTGGGCCACATAGGTGGAGCTGAGCATGCACGGGATCTAGGTTGCACGTCCCTGTGCCCTCCCCCACCGCCCCCAATCTGTGGAAAAACATTTTCCATAAGATTTGGTGTTGATATTTTCAGGAGAAAAGATTTCTGTCTCTTCTGCCCATTTGGGCACTACTTCTTATCAATCCAATAAAAATACATTTCTGAGGATTGAAAGGAAACTCCAAAATAAAAAGGCTGCAACAGGAAGGGGCAACCAACAAAATTGTTTCTCCTTTGCGTAATTGGAAAGCAACCAGTAGCTAATGCTGCTAGTGGAAATCTCCATTTTACATTAACATTTATAACTTTATACCTGAGATGACCACTGGTCTCAAGGAATAACTTCATCACTAACCCTGTATTCCTAAAATACTTCCTTTCTACTGATAAAACCTCAATATTTATATATTATATGTTGGGAAATAATACATAAATGATTGTATAAATGATGAATATTATTGTAGATATATAGCTTAATGCTATTGTTAAGTAGGTGCTTTTTTATTTTTACATTTTTTTAAAAAGGTACTTTGTCTCCTTGTGATTAATTCCAAGGGATAAGTTAACAAAACATTATTTTCACTTGTTTGCAGAGTAGAATTTTCATAGATGATTCATATCATAGCAAGCCAAGTTGTGATCTGTCAGGGTTAGTGGCAGAGCCTAATCTTTCAGGGCGTTCACACACTTTAACCTTCTCTTCAGATGAGGTGAGTTTCAGTGTGTCTATGTGTGTTGTTAATGTCAGTTCAGACCACCTTGTCATTTCAGTTTGCCTAACATAATAATAGTAATTAGTTATCCTAGCCAGTTTTTGTCTGCTACTTAAGTTCAATACTTTACGTTTTTTTCTTTGTCAATATTATCATTCTTTTCCGTGGAGTTTTGTAAATAACAAATGTATAATAAATTTATTACATGTATTTCAAAATATAATAAATGGTATTTTTATTTAAATATTTAAATGAAGTGATAATTTGATCAATTATTTGTTATAATTTATTTTTGTAGTAAATGCTACAATCCATATAAAAATAAAGCCATCATTTAGAAAATATATCTCTGGAAAGATAAAGACATTTATCTTTCCAAACATGGATCCAATCATTTTTAATTGCAACTGAGATCTATGATTTATTGATTTTGAGTAGCTTTGATGAATCCAATATACTACATAAGGATGCTGGTGATAGGATTGATATGAATGGCATGCAATGTCATTTCTAACAGAACTACAGAGTTCTCAAGTGCCATTTTCCATGCTAAAATGCTTTTTCAGTCTTTGGACTATAGAGTATAATTGTAGCCATTGAAATTAGTTTAGAATCTTTATGAAGATTTTTTTTTTAAGTGGGAAAACTGCGTCTTTCAAAATTGTGCAGGATTGATTGAAGCCTTTTGTTTTGTTTTTGTTTGTGACAAAAGATAAGATCAGCATTTGCTGATAAGTGTTAAGAGTCCATTATGTGGTTTATAGCCTGCATATAATTTACTTTAACAAAACATTTTTGCTAGTAATGTCTGTTTTTATGCTCTTGGGGCTTCTTTGTAAGAATTTAGTTTAAATTCTTTTCCTGTATCTGTGACTTCCAATTGTCTTAAGAATGTTGTATTTTTAAAGTAGTTTAATTATGTTTGGCTGTTTATTTTCTTTGTTGGAAACATGAGCTGATTTTGGTTGGATGAGAATGATGGCTCCATCCATGTTTTGTTTAAAATTATGGCTTTCCTATTTAAAAGAAAAAAACTGGTCTCTGGTTTGCTTGATTTTCTTAAAGTAGGGAAAGGCAATTTTAGTTTGTGGACTGCTTATAGCATTGATGGCAAACCTATGGCATGCGTGCCACAGGAGGCACGCGGAGCCATTTGTCAGGGCACGTGAGGCGCATGCGTGCGCTGGCCAGCTGAGTTCACCCTTTTTTAAAGCCATTTTTCACCCTCCCCAGGCTCCAGAGGCTTTATAGGAGCCTTTGGAGGCTGAAAAGAGTCTCCCCACCCTCCGGAGGCCCTCCAGAGGCTTCATGAGCTTCCCTGAAGCCTCTGGAGCGCA